AAAAAAATTTTCCTTCAATGCACAAAGATTTGGGAGGTGTCAGTACCTGTGGCATAATGAACATATTTTGACTGAAAAAAATGGGGCCAGGCAGAAGTATTCATAAACCAAATATTTAAAACACAAAATTCTGAGTTAAAGTATTTCATAAAATTAAAAATCTTTCCAAATTGTCTGTCTTAAACTCTGAATTTTTATATTAGGGATTGTATTAAATTAATTACAATTACTAATGAATTAATTATAAATAACTTATGCAGTATTTAAAATTATACATAACTTATAAATTAACTTGTTTATAATAGCTTAAAAAGAAAAGATTATTAAAAAATGAAATTATAAAACTTTATGCAATTTAATCCTCAGTTAAAATCAGTTTCATTTTAATGAGACACAAATAAGAGTATGTTTATATACTGTTACACATATTCATTCTATTTTATTTAATTCCTACTTGTATGGAAAATGGTGAAGAAATACATTCCTAGAATTCATGCTTAACCTGTATCAATAGCCACTAGATGTTTTATATTGATCTATTTTCTTAACAAAGTTCAGTCTTATCTCTATTGCCTTCCTATAACCCTCATTGATTAGTCTTCCTTTCACAAATTTCCCAGGTTAATTATCATACATTTTTTTTCAACACAGAAAATAACTAGCTTTGGTTAGTTGTATTTCTAAATTAGAGAAATTCTCTATTGCAAAGAAGTTGGAACAAAGAGAATAAAAAGGTAGGGAGAAAGCCGGGCATAAAATCCCTTTTCAACTTTGAAGTCTCTAATTTACATAAATTGCATAGATTGAATCTGTTTTCTTTTATTTTTAATACAGCAAATAGTGGAAAACAAAAGACCACAGCAATTTGATTAAATATGTAAAATATTTAAAGTAAACATCAGAAAACTCTAAATATATTATAGGCAAAAATTCATGCCCTTAAATGTTTCCACCCAGTATATTAAATTCTGAGGAAACTTTTCAATACCTCTTTTTTTTTTCCCAAAAAGAGATATCAAGGTCTTATCTCTTGTGACTGAAGAATAATAAAGCTAGACTGCTGTTTCTAGGTAGAGTGACTAAGGATTGTTTTACTTACAGGGAGACATTTCAGTAAGACCTAAAGGAGTTGGGGGAATAAATTGGCATTTCATGGGAACAGCAATTCAGAGAAAACAGCAAGTGCCAAAGTCCTAAGGCAGGATCTTGCCTAGTTTGTGTGAAGCATGAGAATGATGTGGCCTAGCATATTTTAACCTGTTTCTGTGTTAAGAAAATACCAAAGGGGAGGGAAATGTAAAAGAGAAGACCACATAATATAGAGACTATTGCAATGAGAAATGATGGTGACGTGGACAACTGAGGTGGTAAAAGCTGATTGAATCCAGATATATATACCTTGAAAAGGGGGGTGGCAAGCTTTGCTGTTAGTATTGACATGAGGTGAAAGAGTAAAAATGCAAGAGTAATCAAGAATTATTAGAAAGTTTTTATTTGGGCAAATTAGAACACAGTTGTCATTAACTTAGATGGAACAGTTTGGGGGTAGGGACGAAGATCAGGAGAAGATCATTTCTGACATATTTGTTCAAATGGAACTGTTGAGTAGACATGTGTTAAGCAAGCAGTCTAGACTGGAGGTGTAAATCTGATTCATCACCTAACAGCATTTAATGTCATGAGACTAGAAAAGAACAGTGGATAAAAAAGGATACTAAGTCTGGAAGCATTTTAATATTCAGATGTAAGGTAAATAAGAAGAAACTAGGGGAAATAATGATGGAAGAACAAAAGAGGTGAAAGGAAATCCAGGAGAAATATTTGAATGTGTTTCAAGAAGTGATGGTGGTAAGTGCTGCTAATGTGTTAAAATCATAAGTCTGCATCTCCTACAAAACATAATATCACTGGTTCCTATTATCCCACCTAATTTTATCATCCAAGTTCTTCCCATACTATCTTCCCCACTCCAAGAAACCATATTCTATATAGCAATCTTTCAAAAATGTGCGTCTATGTTAATATCCTATTTATTCTTTAATTGTCTTCTACTGCATCTTAAAAAAGTTTTCAACTCTTTACTCTGGCCCACAAGGATCTTTATCATGTGACCCTTTTTACCTTCCTGATTTCATTCCTCCTTGATAATTTTTATATGCACAGGCATTCATTTTGTTATTAAAATATATCAGTCCCGTTCATTGCCTTGGCACCCCATCTTCCATACTCAGGATAGACTCTCTTAGTTCTTTATCTTGTCAGCATTTAGGTCTCACAGCTCAAACATCTTCCTGAGAGAGGTCTTGCCTAATTGATCTATCAAAATCTAAAATTATCTCAGTTATATATTTAAATTGTGTATTGTCCATCTTCTCTCAGATCATAAATCACCCAAGGGCAGGTATTATTGAACAAATACTGCAGCACTTAAAAGTTCACATAAAAGTAAGCCTCAAAAATTACTTGACAAGGGCCTCCCTTGGTGGCGCAGAGGTTGAGCGCTAGGCTGCGAAGCTGCCCTCAGCCTCTGCAGCGCCGGTTCCCCCGCCTCCATCTCCGGCCGCTGGGCAAGGGTCCCACACGGCGCGCAGACCTCTCCTGCCATGCTCGCTGGTCCCCTCAGCAGTGTATTTCGTCAGTCTGCCTGTTCTGTTCCCAGCTCTGGCTCTGGTGAATTCTCTCACCCTCCCGCGCTTCTGACTGTATCCAGTGCTTGTATAAATAAATAAATAAATCTTTAAAAAAAATTACTTGACAAAATCTCAGTCCTTTAAAATAAGCAAATTATCAGGACAATCGTTTAACTTTTTATACAATGCAGGCATCACATTCTATAACACGTGTCATGATACAAGAACATCTCTAGTAGCAGCAAGCATATTATTTCATTAAGCAGATCATTCCATCTTGGGACAGCTCCACTTGTTTGAAAAGTCTTGTCCCTACTAAATCAAACCTCTTCCATGTAATTTCCACCTATTAGCTTTTGGAGTTATGCCATGTAAGTCTAATACCATTTATAGATACAAACTTACACATTTTAGATAACAGTTATATATCTCTCCCCTTTGTATTCACTTTTGCAGTACAAACAGTTCTAATTCTTTCAATGATTCTCCATTAGTATGGTTACTGATCAAATCTTTTCATGACTGTTTGGATAGTCTTAATGTATTAATTTTCATCTCAAAAATGTCATACTCAAAACTAAACACAGTCCCTCTCCCATTTGCTTTGATTAATGTAGAGTCAGTGGAACAACTGTCTGTCTTGTCAATCTAGATATCATACTGTTATTCATGAAAGCATGAAGACTATTCTTATAGTTCTAGTAAGAAGTTTGTAGCTAACTAAAATCTCCAGTGATTGTCACAGGCATGGCTGTGAATGTGAGTCTTCCACTTTGTAGATGTTAAGGTGTTAAAGAACTAGATACAATATTTCACACCAATCCTAGTTAAACATATTTTCGATACTATTAGTATAGTGTCCCTTACTACTAATTTTTAAAATGCAACTCTACTTCAACATAGCAATGTCTCCAAATTTTATGCTGTTAACATTATTTGATAAGCATTCTGTGACATCAGATCACTGATAAAAAAAAAAAATTTGTATAAACATATCAAACACTGAGTTCCATAGCATAGGGCATAATATTAGAGACCTTTTGATCTGGTTGATACTAATTCTATGTGTGATTCAATGAGCTATTTGTAACTCCCTAACAGCCTCATCTTATCCTTAAAAATATCAAAAAAGGTATTATTAAATATCTTTTTTTTAAAGATTTATTTATTTATACAAGAACAGGGTACAGGCCAGATGAGCAGGAGGGTGAGAGGATTCACCGCAGGCAGAGCGGGGAACAGAACAGGCAGACTGACGAAATACACTGCTGAGGAGGGCAGCAGGCAAGGCAGGAGAGGTCTGTCATGCCATGTGGAACCCTCGCCAGCCAGCCAGATCGAACTGGCTCTGCACGACCCTGCAGAGGCGCTCAACAGCCTGCGCCCACCAGGAAGGCCCTATTAAATACCTTTTTAAGCTACTCTTGAAAATAAACTATTTTATTAAAAGATTGCTTTTTTATTCCATGTATGTGTATCATTATATACACATATCTATAAATTATGTACATAAATTTGATCCTATCGATAAGACAAGTTGTGATAAATGTCAGAATTATCAGTATCTACAAAATAAGATTTTACGTAAATTTATTGTTATGCTGGTGAAACTATTTCTTAGTATGAGTTGATAAAAGATTTTGCTCTAAGACAGTTTGGCTATCTCTGTAAATAAATGAGAAGAATGAGAATCAGTATGATCAAACAAAGAATATATTTTCATATATATGCAATGGATAAGAAAATAAAGCTATATCAAGTAGCTATATCAAGAAAATAAAGCTATATCAATGTTAATCAATCTAAATATGTTAAGATAAATTCAACATTATAGTACTTAAAGTTCTCATGGAATCTGTTTTGTTGCTACTACTAGTTTTAACTCAAATATGCACATTTAGCAAAATGAGTATTTTTTTTGACATCAGACAAAATTAACTGGAAATAGTATCATCTTTAGTAATAAGTGTATTTTCAGAGTACCCTTTTAATCCTAAAAGTTAGAGATATGATCCATCTTCCATTCTAACACAGATTTTCCTGTATCAAGAAAAATCTATCATAACATCAAAGAACTTGTTTTGGGGCAACTATATCTTTATCATTGCTTTCTTAGCATCTTCACTCAACCAAATGAGATTCCTAATAGCCCCACATCATACAAAGTCAATTTCCAATTATTTTACATTCCTTTTCCTATTTCAGTGAACTTTATGAGGAAATTCTCACTGATGTTTCTAACTTTTAACCTCTTTTCAGAAAAATAGGAAGATTTTTCCTTGAAGATAGAAATAGTTATGTGATGCCAATTGCTACTGGGAGAAAAAAGCAAATATTTCTATGTTCAACACAAACACTTTTGCTTCCTGGGAGGAAAGGAAAGATGAAAGACCGACTTCAAGAACTAAAGCAGAGAACAAAGGAAATTGAACTCTCTAGAGACAAGCAGGTGTCAACCATAGAAGCAGAACAAGGGGTGTTTCTGCAGCAAGCTGTTGTTTATGAAAGAGAACCTGTAGCTGAGAGACACCTGCAGGAGATCCAAAAACTACAGGAGAGTATTAACAACCTGACAGATGATGTTCAAAAATTTGGGCAGCAACAAAAAAGTCTGATGGGTTCCATGAGAAGGTTTAGTTTACTTAAGAGAGAATCCAGCATTACAAAGGAGATAAAAATCCAAGCAGAACACATTAATAGAGGTTTAGATGATTTAGTGAAAGAAGTTAAAAAGTCAGAGACTGAAAATGGTCCATCATCAGTGATCACAAGAATACTTAAATCTCAGCATACTGCCATGTTCCGCCATTTCCAGCAAACTATGTTTATATATAATGACACAATAGCAGCAAAGCAAGAGAAGTGCAAGACATTTATTTTCCGTCAGCTTGAAGTTGCTGGAAAAGAAGTACCTGAAGAAGAAGTAAATGATATGCTTCACCAAGGGAAATGGGAAGTTTTTAATGAGAGTATACTTACAGAAATCAATATCACTAAAGCACAACTCTCAGAGATTGAACAGAGACACAAGGAACTTGTTAATTTGGAGAACCAAATAAAGGAATTGAAAGAACTTTTCATTCAGATATCTCTTTTAGTAGAGGAACAAGGAGAACACATCAACAATATTGAAATGGTAGTGAATGACACAAAAGAATATGTTAACACTACTAAAGAGAAATTTGGACTGGCTGTCAAATACAAAAAGAGAAATCCTTGCAGGGCATTGTGCTGTTGGTATTGTCCACGGTGTAGTCCAAAATAAAGAAATATTTTGAGAATTTTTTTCCAGCTTAGAGTGGAGAATGCTCCATGTGTCACCCTCTTGCATTGCTTTTCTTCATTTCATGGATCCATTCACATACCTTTTGTCACTACTAAGTCATAATTTTCCCCTTTAGCACTTATCTACAGGAATTAGAAAAACCTCTGAAGTCAGTGACAAAGTCTTTGTTTATTAAACTAAAAACAGTATAATTAACTCTAGAAAATTACAGGGGAATCTCTTAAAATGAGCTGAATGATCGTGTTTTTGGTCTTGTTTCAAGCTCTAGTATACACTTTTATAATTGTGTCTTAACAAAACGAAAGCCAGTAAGTAATGACTAAGACTTAAGCAATCCTTTTACCTCATTTGAGAGTATTTGGGTAGTTAAGAGTTGTACAGAACAAGACACAACTAGTGCTGTATTAAAGCAAAATCAAACCAGAGGCTGTATCAAATCTTATATGCTCAAATAGATCAGTTTAGTTTACAAAACCTGGAAAAACCCAAAAAATCCTGGAAAAGCCCAACTGTGTACCTGATGAAGAATCTGGTTGGTTACTGTGAACTGAATCTAGCTTAAGACCTTAAAAAGTAAGGTAAGGCACTGCTTTCTTGAAATAGGGTCCATTCCGGACACTGCATTACCAATCAGGTAGGTTGGCAGATAAAAAATAAAGGCAGTTGTATTCTCAAAAGTCTCTCCATCACTTTATTGTGAAGCCAGGCACTGTACTGTGAACTCACACAGGGATAGAATTTTGCAACTCACATCCTAGTGGAGAAAGCAAGTAACAAATACAAATAAAAGATAATGTCACATTCTCAGCAAAGACTTAAAATAAGGGTGATAAGCTACAACCTGTTAGGGTTATTTCTTTCAGTTAGATGGTAATTGAAAGCCTCTCTGACAGGTAATATTTAGGTGAAGAACTGAACGATGAAGACAAAGTCAAACTCCAGGTATAGGAAACAATACATAGATGCAATGAGGTAAGAGATGAGATTAAGATCAGCAAGGTATTGATTTAAAATTTTGGAGGCTATATAAGTCCTAAAGTTTATAGCAAGTGTAATCAATGCAAAACCCTGTGACTGTTTTTGGCCTCAGAATAATGTCACATAATTTATATTTGAGAACAATCACTGTGTGTATAGAATGGACAGCAGATAAGAATAGATTTGGGGGAGAAGAGTAGAGAACAAGCATACAAGTACAGAAAACAATTAGAAGGTTAATTCAGTAGTTCCAGTAAAATATGATGGAAACTTGGAGTAGACGATGGAGTACAGGTTCCAGGTAAAATATGATGGTGGTAGCAGCAGTATTAATACTCCAGATTAGAAAATACTTGCTATACCCCATTATTGTTCTAATAGTTTTACAATTTTTACTGACAATAGCATTGAGATACAGCAAGGTTAAGCAGTCTGTCTCAGGTTACAGAAAGTAACCTAGTAGAGAGTAGAAGAGAGTAGAGAGTAGAGATTTGAAGCCAGGCAGCAGTCTGATTCCAGAACAAACTTAAACTAACAAACATTTTATATATGTGTGTGTGTATATATATATATATATTAGGGTATATATATTAGGGTATATATATATATATTAGGGTATATATATATATATATATATATATTAGGGTATGTGTGTGTGAGTGTGTCACACTTGCACATACACATATAAAAACGGATTGGAAGACAATGCTATTTACTGAGATGAGAGAAAACAGAAATGTAGGTTTCAGAATTGAAGATGAGAAGGAAATTAAAATTTTTATTTTGGTGACTATAAAATAAATTGACTTATGAAAATGACCAAGTGAGTGGAGGCTCCTAAGATATTAGCTATATCAGCAGAAGTAGGACTGAGAGGTATCAGAGCTGAAAGTATAGATTTGGATCATTTTAGTGAAAATCTGTATCACTGGGAGTTTTATAGAATTTTCATCACATAGACATGATTGATCATTTACTCCATTTTCAGCCCTTCATATTAAAGAGAAAGGGTGCCAAGGGCTGAAAATTCTAAGCTTCTAATCATGGCTTGGTCTTTTTGGTAACCAGCCTCCATTCAAGAGCCATCCAGAAGTCTTCAGTCTCTTCAGTAGAACAAAAAAAATGTCCTGGCATGCATGAAACTACAAGGATTTCAGAAACTCTCTGTCAGGAATGGGTCAAAGACCAAATATTAGAACAACTAGAACAAAAAATGCTCCCAGTACTCTTATCGCTTATTTACAAGGAGTTCTATGTTAGGAATCAAGAACAGAGACCAATATATACATTTCATATTATAAATCACAATATCTCAATTGTTAAGAAAGGTGAGTCAAGTAATAATAAAAAGGTTAGAAACAAAAATGCCATACTGAACAGTAATAACAAAAGCCGGTTATCGTTTCTCCTAACATGGAAACTCACAGTCACAGTTCTTAACCTTTTTGGTCATGAAATCCTATTGGAATTTGATGAGAGAATCTGTTGCCAAGAAAATGTACATGCACTTGGAAATACGTGCGTGACTTCAGAGGGTCCTGGGAGGCCACCCATGGTGCAGTCAAAGATTCTTTTTTATTAAAATGTGCATAACACCTACTAAAATTATATCAGGGATATTATATTTTCATCCCTGAGTGAAACTCCTCCATATATTTATCACTTTTGTCATGAAGCATCCAATTTGTGAGGTTTGGCCAAAAGTTAATAAGTTAGGTCATTAACTCCACAGAAAAGCAGACAGTATATAATGAGAAAATGGCACCCTTCCAAGAGTTCAAGTGTGCTAACGCAAGCAGAATTGTTATTACCCTGGGAGGAAAACTTAGACTGTGGATGACCAGTTATTCTAGTTGTAAGTATTAGGAAATTCAACTGTAAAAAGGAAAGAGTAATTTACAACTATAAGACTATATTAGAGAGAAGAGATATAGAAAGAACATTTGCCTTCTTAAAACACCAACATAACCTTCAGCTCCTGAAAATGTCAACAGATTAATATTCCTTAGGTAATCAACAAATAGTGGCTTATATTATTAATGGAAAATTTCTATGTTGGGCTGAAATTTGGGATTACTGCTGATCTCAGTGTTACTTACACAAGTACAGAATTTGCTTACTTTTTATCTTAGGTTGGTCTTTAACATGACTCTCTAGTTCTACATTTTTAAAATTAAGTCTTAAATGTTTAAAGTGAAAGTACGGGGCCTGCCCTGGTTGAGTGCTGTGCTGTGAAGCTGTCCACAGTCTCTGCAGCACCGGTTCGATCCCGGCCAACTGGCGAGTGTCCCACATGGCAAGGCAGACCTCCCCTGTTGCGTCCACTGCTCCCCTCAGCAGTGTATTTCATCAGTCTACCTGTTCTGTTCCCCACTCTGTCTCTGGTGAATCCTCTCACCCTCCCACGCATCTGGCCTATACCCAGGTTCTTGTATAAAATAAATAAATCAAAAAAATAAAGTGAGAGTATGTGTGGAGGGGGGTAATTTCAGGGTAGGTAACAATTTATATCTTAGTTGTCAGAGTATAGGTTAATCTCTATAGCAGATATAAGAGAAAGCCTTTCTGGGTAAATAAACTAGAGCAGAACGCTTATGTGACATATAATCTTACTCTTTAGAAGGAATATAAATCACTTTTACCTTTTTACTTAACTAGATTTTGGACTAGTCTATAATATGGTAAACATATTATAGATAGCTGAACACAAACATAGAATTACAGCTATTTTTATTTTAGAAGAGATATTTAACCACTAAGTCCAAACAAGTCACATGACTGCCCACTTGTCATACAAGTGTTTTGCAAACTGAAAAATAGTAAATAAAGATGTAGAGAGCTTAGTAGATAAGACTTCCAGCAAAGAGACTGATTAGGAGGCTGCTGTTATCAGTAACAAGGAAAGAAGAGGTGTTGAAAGAAGGTAAGATCTAGGGGAAAGAGATATAAATGGTATTAAGACAGCAGCATCCATAAGAAACAAAGTCAGAGACAAAAAGGAACCAAAACTTCTAAATTTGAGCTTAGGTAGGTATCTGAAAGAGATTCAAAAACATATTTAAGGGCCTCCCAGGTGGCTCAGCGGTTGAGTGCTGGGCTACGAAGCGGCCCACAGCCTCTGTAGCGCTGGTTTGATCCCCAGCTGCTGGCGAGGTTCCCACATGGCATGCAGATATCTCCTGCCACGCCCACTGCTCCCCTCAGCAATGTATTTCATCAGTCTGTTCTGCTCCCTGCTCTGGCTCTGGTGAATTCTCTCACCCTCCTGCGCTTCTGACTGTACCAAGTGCTTGTATAAACAAATAAATAAATAAATAAATCTTTAAAAAAAAAAAACAAAAACAACAAAACATTTAAAAAATATTTTAAAAAGTAATAAAAAATATTATATGTACACTGCAAACATTATCCATTTTAGAAAAATACACATGGGAAACGCATCAAAATCTTAGCAATAGGGATGATAAAATGAATCATTTTCTAAGTTAAGAATGTGTACTTTTTTACATATGTTGTATATTTTTAAGCATATTTATTTCAAAAGGCAGTATAACTTTATCAATGAAAATTGTATGGTTGTAAAATTCCCTTAAACACTGGACAAATGGCAAAACAATTTTCATAAACATAGTCAACTATCCATAATTAATTCTCATGTCTTTGTGAGATCTCACTGACTGCGAGATTGTAATGATGAAGCAATTACCCCAGTGAAGAATTTTTTCTTCTATTCAGGAAACTCACTAGCTGAGAAAGGTGACAGAACTAAAGGCTATCTTGTTGACATTTATTTGACCACTCAGTAGTCACTGTAGTCCCTTACAAGTTATATGACCCTACCCGAGGGCTTTGCCAAATGTATCTATAGGACTCTCTAATCTGAAATGTCATTTTATTCTGATAACTTTACAATGATAATCCTAATTATAGAGTAACTCACTCCTGTCACCATCATTACCATAGGATTCCTAAGCTGCTTTCACCTGTTTTTTTTTCAATATACTTCTCACTTAAACTACAATTTTTTACATTTATTGTACATCTCATCTCCTAGAAAGCTCCTGATATCAGACATGAATCTTTATTGGTTTGTTCATAAATGCATCCCCATCACAAGATCAATGTCTCCCACATAATGAATACTTATTAAATATTTGTTGAATTAATGTATGCATGCATGAATGAACATGAAATAATAAATGAGTATAAGGCTAAAAAAGGCATACATAATTATATTACCAATGAACACTTTACAGTAGGAGTATGCTATTTTTCACTTTCTTCTGGCTGTGCCCCAAATGACTGAAAGTTCAACATGTTTAAACTCAAATGTAAGGTTTTCTCTTATGAGACTTTCCCCTCAGACTTCTCTTGGCATTGTTCTCCTGATCTCCCAGGTTTGGAACTTTATTCTCAACCAGGTCTTCCATTATCAATTATTTCTTACAAGTCACTAGTTTTCTGCTTAAATATCTGTAGAGACTAACACTTTACCCATGGGATATGACCAAGCTCATTCTTAGTATATATCTCTATTTTTTTTAAAGATTTATTTCATTTATTTATGCAAGAATTTATAATAAATTATACAAGAACTGGGGTGTAGGCCACATGTGCAGGGGAGGTGAGAGGAATCACCAGTGACAGAGTGGGGAGCACAATAGGCAGATCTATTGAAATATACTAGAGGAGAACAGTGGGCAAGACAGAGGTCTGCTGCACCATGTGGGTTAGCAACCTGGGCAGGGATCAAACTCCTGCTGCAGTGGCTGGAGATAGCCAGCATCATCAGGGAGACCCCTGTATAAATTTCTATTAAAGTTTTCTTTCAGAATCAATAAATGTGAGAGAATTGATTATATAAATCAAATAGTTTCTCTACGGGTTAAAATGTATAAAAACCAAATAGTATAAGCTCTATCAACAGATGATGCAATAAATTTTTTACCTTTTATAATCAGAATTCCACTAGCTACTACTAAGGACCATTGAGAGAAATGTTCACTAGTTACCAAAGATTACTAAGAAATTCTGCTTACAATTTCTCATCTCATTATGTGAAACACTGGTTGTTTTAATCCTTAATAATGAATCACAAAAGCAACAGAAAAGGGACAAGAAGGTGACAGCACACATTCAGCTTACTCCAATGTTAAGAACAATTTTGAGTTTCATTTTACTATGTCTCATAGTTAGAGCACCACCTGGTGTTACAAAGCACAAACACTATGAGGGCAGATAGTGCAAAAAATTCCAGTTTTAAAGAAAATGTTTTTTACCTAGACAAACTGATATAAGCATATGACTACACTGATAAGACTGATCATATGCTCAATATGAAAACTGTAGAAATAGAACTTGTGAAATTAACATGGGATAGAAAACCACACCATTTAAAACACTTGCAAATAGACCACTCTTCTAGTGAAAAAGAACAAAGGCAAAAAATTGATGGGGGCCTCCCTGGTGGCACAAGGGGTTAAGATGCAGCACTATGAAGCTAGCAGCAGCCATTGCAGCATGAGTTCAATTCCAGCCAGGGAGCTGACTCACATAGTGCAACAGACCTTTCCTGTCTCACTCACTGCTCTCCTCAGCAGTGTATTTCAGTACATCTGCCTGTTCTGCTCCCCACTCTGTCTCTGGTGAATTCTCTCACCCCCTGCATCTCTGGCCTGCACTCCAGTTCTTGTATGCATAAATAAATAAATCTTAAAAAAAAAGTTAGTGACTTACTGAAAGAAGAAAAAATTGAAAAGCATCCTAGAACACTGTTTGTTAATAAATCATTTTAAAATACAAAATTTGATTAAAAAGTAAATAGTTTATAATTATTAAACAGTCTCATTGTAAGACTTCTTCATAATGTAGCCTCTACACTTAACATCTACAGACATTATGACAAGGACTCAGTATATTAACAACTCCCAACTCCCAGTTAATTACATACATTTTATTACCATGGAATGTAACAATTTCAGCTTAATCTTTGTAATTTGGGTAAATTTTCTTTTTGGCTAATGCTGTTGCCCCTATGTTCACAAGGACTCCATCAATACTTACACCAGTATAGGCTTGCCAGATATCCGTGGATGTCGTAACACTTCTGACATTGTCTCTTTAGTCTCTTCCATTCTCTCTTCATCACTAGAATCCACAACAAATATAACTCCATAGGATTCAGCATAGTAATTCTTCCAGATTCCTCGAATTCTTTTTCCACCTCCCAAATCAAAGATGGTAACTTCAAACTTTCCTTGTCTAAGGTCGATTTTGGAAAATCCAACAGTAGGAGCTACATCTTCAGGATGCTCTGTTTCAAATGATATAAAAGATCAGATTTTAAATTAATATTAACATTACAGCTTGAATGACCAAAAAAATGTATTCATCAGGCAGATGTTAGTACTAAAGAGAATGTTTACTATTTACTTACACAATAGGCATTACATCTAAACACGCTGGTTTGAGGGGAGGGTAGATACTATAAAATATCCAATTACAATTTTTACTTTATGAATTTCTGGGGTTTTGTCTGTTTTTACTGCTATAACTTCAGCACTTAAAATAATACTTATCATACCATAGGTACTTAGTAAGTATCTGTAGAAGGAAAAATGAATGAACTTTTGCCTTTTTTCCTTAAGATTTATTTATTTATTTATGCATACATGAACTGGGGTACAGGCCAGAGGTGTGGGGGGCGGTGAGAGGATTCACCAGAGACAGAGTAGGGAACAGAACAGGCAGACTGACCCAAGGACAATGCTGAGGGGAGCAGCGGGCGAGTCAGGAGAGGTCTGCTGTGCCTGAACTTTTGCCTTTAAAGCTATTTATTCTTCAAATTACAAACAATAAAAAATTCAAGCCTTCAACACTGCAGACATCCCCAGAAACTGTTATAACTTTACAACTGTTATAAAGAAAAACTTGGAACACTCAAAGAATAGATGAGTTTAGAAAAACCAAAGAATGGGAGATGTTATAAAGTATAGGATAACTCTTTTAGCTAAATTAAAGCTACAGCTGGAATATAAGAGACTGTTGAGAGTAGTTTGCAAACATAATGAGTATATTTTACTATTTCTACAGGAAAGACGTTTTAGATCTGCCAGTAAATATATAATTGATTTTTTTTTAACCTCTGCATATGAAAACACTAAGAAGGTACAGAATACATACCTGTACCTCTTCCTTCCCAGTCAAAATGCATATGTAGCAGTGGGCCACCTTAGACCATACAGGTCGGGGAAAACACAGGGATGGCAAAGCAAATGGGAGAAGGAACTTGAGTCCCTAATACCATGGAGCTTCTATGACAGCCATAAACTACTTTTTTGCCTGCGTATTTGAGAAATAAACTTCTACCTTGCCAAGCTACTGTTATTTTGGATCTGTTAGAGCAAATGAACCTTTATTCAACTAACGCAATCACTTTGATAGCTATAAAGAAGAGAAGTTGATTGAAAGAAGCGAAATGCACAGTAAGAAAACTATTCATAGATTAGGAAACTAAAATAACATTATAGAATAAAGACATTCAGGGTTTGAATTTGGACAATGGTAATCAATACATTTAGAGGGGAAAGAGACATATCTCTGAAATAAAGCAAATGCCAAGTGAGGGTGGGGGAGACAGAGACAGAGAAAAAGAGATAGAGGGATAGAGATAAAGATAGAGAGATGAGATGAGATGAGATGAGATGAGATGAGATGAGATGAGATGAGATGAGATGAGATGAGATGAGATGAGATGAGTGAGTCAGAAATAAGCTGAAGAGTGGAAGTTAAGAAAGAAATGTTTTGGGCCTCCCCGGTGGCGCAGCGGTTGAGCGCTGGGTTGCGAAGCTGCCCGCAGAGTCTGCGGCGCCGGTTCGATCCCCGGCTGCTCCCCGGCCACCAGAGGAGGGTCCCGCATGGCGCGCAGACCTCTCCTGCCGCCCGCTGCTCCCCTCAGCAGTGTACTTCGGTCCTTCTGCCTGCTCTGCTCCCGCTCAGGTGAATTCTCTCGCCCTCCCGCGCTTCTGACTGTACCCAGTGCATGTATAAATAAATAAATCTTGAAAAAAAAAATTATTAAAAAAAAAAAATCTTTGCAATTTAAAAAAAAAGAAAGAAAGAAATGTTTTAACAAGGGTGTCTAAGGTATGGTATGAACTGAGACATCAAAATGAGTACTACTACCCTTAGGGAATAGAAAAGGACTACAAAGGTAGAAAGACAGCTAAATGACAATTAAGAATTATATAAGTAAGTATAAGTAAGAGTAGCCCAGAACAGAGTACATAGTCATTTCTACTGATGGTGGTGGTTATGGGTAAGGGCAACAGCAGAAAATACTTCATAAAGACGATGTGGCAAAAATAACTTTAAAATTAAATACTTATCATCTCTAGTAAGATAAATGGTAACTCTATCAAGAAAAATACAAAGGCATGAAAAAGACTTAATTTGTGAAACTTCATATAGTTTTATACAAATGAAACTAAAAAAAATCAAGGTAAAAAATCAGTCACAGGAGTAGACTAAAGAATAAATATGAGATGAAGAACAAAAACAGAGCCAGTGGGGTGCTCAAAGTGAGGGGAGCTTTGACTTTTTGATCTTGAAGCGATACCTTGAAAGTTGTCTGGAATGAGAATAAGGAACTAATGGACATGTAGATATAGAAGATAGAAGAGAAAGGGCCCCAGGGAAAGAGACTATTCTAAGTCCATGCAACAAATCATATGGTCTGATAGCAGGTTCTGAGCTGTCTGTTTCCTGAATGTAATGTTTTGAAGGGATGGAAAAAGGAAGGGCATTATGATAAGGAGTCAAGGTCTGCAGATCAAATCTGGCTCACTGTCTGTTATATATGGCACACACCAAGAACGTGTTTTACATTTTTAAATTGCAAAAAGATCAAAATAATATTATTTTATAACACAAAATTAAAACTTTAGTATTCATAAATAAAGTTTCAATGCAAGCCTATCATGCTCATTTGTTTAGTCTGGCCATTTTCTACTCTGCAGGAGGCGTATATTGGGGATAGAGACTGTATGGATTCTCAAAGCCTGAAATAATTACTATCTGGCTCTTTTAGAAAAAGTTTAGAGGATGACAGTGAGTTTTGACAATTAGACTTTAGAAGTAATCATAGAGAATAATACACAATTTATATCCAATATTACATAGTAGAATTGAGAGTGACAAGATAATTTCCAATAGCAAGTTTTATAGGATGCTAATTTTCTTTCATGAAATTCCATAAGTAAAAGCCCCTTGACTATTTGATATGCATGATATCCTGTTTCAACATCCATTTTCAGGAACAAATAGATGTCAGGTTTTCTCCCTTAAGATGACTAGTAGGTGCTGCATCTTCCGGGTATGTAACAAATCACTAACAGATACTGCTATATTGGAATACAAAACATCAAATTAACACTGAATATCAGCAAATGAGATATCATATAAAATACCTAGCACCCTTTAACAAAATAGTGATTCAATCTTTAACATAACTGTAAAACTGACATCTATGGGAGAAAAAAAGTCAAGAGACACAAAGAATGCTATGCTGACCAACTATATTTCTACCACCCTTTTATTAAGGTGTAGCCATGTGACTGAAATCAGACCAAAAGATAGAATGTAAGTAGCAGATGTGTATCGTTTGGGGAGGTAGTATGTGTCGGGGGGAAGAGGATGTCTTTTTTTTTTTTTTTTAACTTTTTCCCTTACTATTGTCTAGAAGAAAGATGTGTCCCTTTTAGTGTATCATAGATGTCAAAGAGCCTCTGCAACTGCATTTAGTCAAATCTGAAAAATGATAATAAGCAGGGATCATTAAGGCAGCGTCTTTTCATATTAGTCATAAATATACTAAGAAATAAAGTAATGGAGTGCACACTATCTGCACCCAGTGAATATATGAGTATAAATTATTCAAAATAATTTAGTAATTAATGTTTCTAGCTTACCTCCTTGGATTCCCTTTGCTGTTGCCGTTTTACCAGCATTATCAAGTCCCACCATCACGAGAGTCACCTTTCTTAAAATAATAAAAATTGAAAATCATTTTTCTAAGTTAATTTTGTATTAGAGAAAAATAAAAGCAAATTCAAATCTTTTTACATTTACTCTATATTAAGTACCACCATATAGTAGCAAACCAACATCCACAATCCCTTGTGCCCATAAACCTCAGAGCCCAGAAACAAAACAGACTTAGAGAGGCAATTTTGTGTGATGACTGCTGTTGTAAAGGGGACGCACGAGCAGCCATGGAAGGATACAGCAAGTCGTGTGTCTAGAAGTCAGGGAAGACCACACTCCAAATAAACACAGCAAATATACTGGGCAGCAGTTCCCTGGAACATCATGGAATACAAACCCTTATGAGCAAAAGCAAAAAAATCTCAAATCTACCTTTCAAGGAAAATAGTGCCTGATTTGCTACTACAAAGGCAGCATCTTAGGCCCGCCACCGAGTCTTGTCAAAATTTCAGTTTAAAAAAAAAAAAATTCCAAAAATTATTATGCATTTTAAATTACCGCCCTTGAAGCCAGAGCTACATTTTACCTTAAAGATGTTCGTAATATTCTTAGTAGGATATTAGGTACAAAGAATAGTTCTTCAAACTCAAAATCACTTTGGAAAATTACAATCATGGTGAGATTGGCACAAAATGGTCTCTTTGGATTTCTATTTCTACCTTGACTACCCTTGCAAGTAGTTAATTTAAGGTCATTATATCATACATTTAAAACACTGCCTTAAATGAATATGAGGTTAAAGTAATGAATAAACATTAGCAGTACAAATAAAAATCATAGCATGAATTATTGCAATGCCTGATAAGAAAGCATTACATTTACATTTTCAGAACAGAATGTATTTAAAAGATTAACATTCATCTACCAAACTCAAAATTCCATGTAACTCTTTAAATAATGAAGATATGCAATAATCTAAAACAAATGTTAAGATTAAAATGTTAAAAAAATCAAACTAAAATGTTATTATGACTTTCCAAATTATGGGAAATCATCACTGGCTGTAGTGCTATATGACAACAAAAAGACAAAAGAATAAGTCTTTTAATCTTATTATTGATCAAATACATTAGTCCCTCAATTGAATAAATAATAAACAGTATTCTTAGGCTTATATTATCTAAAAAAAAGTTGACACTAGAAATAACAATCATTTACTCAGACAGTAATTCAATAAAGGTACATTCAGCATTACGCATTATGGACCGGAAAATGCCTGGAACATGGTTTCTATCCCAAAGTGCTGATCCTCTAAGGAATGTGATGAAAGCATTAGCAAATAGTAATACAATGTGACATTATGACAGTTTAAAATGCTCATCTAGATACACAAGATGCAAAAGTGATACAGAGCAGAGACATCATCTAGTCTAGAGATACGGAAAGTCAGGGTAGTTTCTTACAAAAGGTGATGATGCCTCGGCTAAGTTCTTAAAGTGGAGGTTTGCCAAGCAAGGGAAAGGAGAGGATGAAAGATTCCAGACTGAGAATAGTCCATGAGAAAAGACACCAACGATGACCAGAGAAACCCAGGGGTTAAGAATATACCTTAGGAAAGCAGCCTTAAACACAAGCAAAACACAATTGTTAGACTCACCTAAAATCACAACTCAAAATGACCATGCATTGAGCCTAAAGGGAGCTTAACAGACTTCTACTTAAGGAACCAGTATTATCAAATAGCTGATAGATAAAGTGGACCTTCCCAGAAGTTAATAGTGATGGTTTCATTCTTATTACAGTTATCCCTGAATTGTTAATTATATATCAAACTTTCTAGGCTGAGATGAAAAGGACTCTGGTACTGAAAGATGTACAGAATATTTGTATTAGTGTAAGTAACATAATAGGGCTTCTGAACACTCTGATATAGAGCCACAACTTAGCCTTAGAGATACCCAAGTCCCAGATTTGCCATTTCCAAGCTATATGATCTGGGACACACTACTTCTCTCAGAATTTTATCAATAAAGTGGGATAAAAATATATCCATTCCATAGGATGTGATAAATAAGACAATGCGAGTAATGTGCAGAATGTCTGTGACACACAGTAAGTGTTCAACCCATAGCAATTCTTGAAGCATAAAATTCAAGACAGGGAGTCCACATGTTGAGACCAGAGGGACAGGTGAGGACCAGATTACTGAGGAGTATTTAGTAGGTTTTACACATGCAGAAAGGGTGCTCATCTCACTGCTTAAGTCTGAAGCTGGAGGAGAGACCTGGACTGGTTTTATGAGATATATACATGGTAGTTATAACTGAGAACAGATGAAAGAACCCAGAGAGAACAAAGGCAGAGGAGCTGGGGACAGGGGAGTATGGCACCCTGAGAACCTCTAAAAGAGTATTTAAAATTGTGGTCAGAAAGAAACGAGACAAAAGAAATGGCAAGACTAGGAAGAGTTTCCAGAAGGTGAACACATGAATAATAACAAATAGGCAAAGTTTTGTAAAAGAAAAATGATCTCTTTGTAATAGCCTCAAATTAAGTACCTCAGAAATAAATGCTCTCCACCTTTCCCAAACATTGCAATAACCAATGATTTGAAATTATAGTGTATCTTGATAGTTCAAAGCTATTTCACCCTATCATTTTATCTTCATATAGTCCTGGCAAGCAAAGCAGGTACAAGTTACCCAAGGTAACAGTGTTAATAAGAGCTGTCAACAGCAGCTTTCATGTGAAATTTAAATGCAATGGTTGAAAGCATAATACTTACTACCAATATTATTATTATTATTTTACCGAGTAATTTGAACCATTTTGATTATCCTAAAATTTACTCATATTTGTATATACACAGAAATACATATTGGATAGCCAAGTAATGTGACTCATTTTCATTCATACATTTTGGAATTTTTTCCCCAAGACTTAAATTTGTTACAATCATAACCTGGTTCTAACAGAAAGTGGATTTACCTAGTAACAGGTAGATTGACGAAGGTCCTAAATTGCATGCTGTTAACCAAGTCTAACGATGATGTTGATGAAAATCAAATCATGGTATTTTTCTGCCTTAAATCTTTAAACAGAATCAAGTCCAGGGCCTCCCTGGCGGCGCAGGGGTTAAAGACAGCGCTATCAAGCTATGGCCAGCCACTGCAGTCTGAGTTCCATCCCTGGCCAGGGAGCAAGCCACATGGCACAACAGACCTCTCCTGCCTAGCCCACTGCTCCCCTCAGCAGTGTGTTTCAGTAGATCTATCTGTTCTGCTCCCCATTCTTTCTGGTGAATCTTCTCACCACCCCCCACTCCACACCTCTGGCCTACACCACAGTTCTTGTATGCATAAATAAATATTTAAAAGAGAAAAAAAAGAATCAAGTCCAAACTCTAGAGCATGCCCTTCTGCCACTCCCCAGCAGGTCTCCAAGGCCAGGGATTCCCCCTGTCCTTCTTGACAGTATCTACTGCCACAGACTAACTTTATCAAATAACTTTATCAAATAACTTTTCAAACAGTCTCCTCTGCTAGAGCTAGTCTTAACAAAGGTTATAGTGCCAAGATCAAGAGTACTGGGCACACGGTGGGCATACTTACTGCTTGAAACAACATGAATCTATTTTCTGATTCCCCCATTTGCTAAGTAAATACAAAGGCAAGACAATAGTGTCATTGGTTTAATGTAAACAAATCTTAAAGTGACTACAATACTAAATAATGTAACTAAAATCATCTATACTTTTACAGCAAACTGGCTTAAGTTTCCTGAAAAAGTTTACATGCTCATGGTTTCAGTATAATAATTAACAATGAGAAAGATTTTAAAATTTCAATTTTTTAGTCACTCCTCAAGCATCAAAATCAATACAAAGCTGAAGCCAGAAATCACAGAGAAAACTTCTGGAATACAAGAATAAGCCTAAAGTTGTATCCCCAAATTAATTATTCAGTATTAGCAAAAACACAATTGAAATTCATCAGAAAATTAAAAGAAATGCAAGATAGAGCAGAGACATAAGAACTAGCCTTGAAAAAGAAAAGGAATCCTTCATCCATGGACAACAGAAGGAAAAGGTATGATATCAATATTGGTAAGTATAAAATGTATTGAGGAGGGTAATTTACTAACTGGCACTTACCTTCTAGGAGCAGAAGTACCACTGACTGAGTACTATGAGCCTAGCATCAAACACTTACATAAATGTTCTATTTCAAAATGCAGTAAGATAGAAATTATGCACCCCTACGAAGAAGAAAAGCGCCCAAATGCCTAGGATTCAGATTCAAATCCATTTGACTCCAAAATACTATATTGAGAAATAATTCTGAGTTAAAAAAAAAAAAAGAAAGAAAGAAAAGTAGGGACTAAGAGAGCCAAAGGTCTATTTTACATATTTACCTCAGGATCCCCCCACCTTTTAAACAGATATACAAATTCATGTCAAAAATATAAGCAATGTAATACTGCAGTTTGTAACAGACACCACTTAATCATTAACCAAGTGATTAAGGTTTAACATAACCGATAATAAGGCCTATTAACATCTCAGACCCTTTGATATGCTATACTGGGAAGGATATGTCATCTCTGTGGCATTATTCAACCCAATAACCAAACAACACCTTTATGGAATGAAAAGAAAACATCAGACAACCACATTCACAGGTACTCTACAAAACTGACAAGTACTCTTCAAAGTCTATGAGAGATAAGACTAAGGAAGTGTTAGAGACTGAAGGAGACCAAAGAGACATGACAAATGCAATGGGGGATCCTCGATTAGATGCCAGATCGAAAAAAAAAACGGTATTAGTCAAAAAACTAAAAACTAATGAACTCAGAATAAAGTCTATAGTTTAAAGTATTGCACAAAAGCTAATTTTTAGCTTTGCTTTTTGTACTGTGATCTCAAAATACAAAGTTTAAAAAACAATACTATACTTCATTGGCAAGCCACATACCTGTGAATATGGTATATGCTCTATTAAAGATTAATTTACACATCTAAAAAACAGCATATATGGTTCAAACACTGGCTGTTTGCTGAATTTCCTAGCTTCTGGTCCTGACTCTTGACCTGAACACTTCATCTTTCATTCTTCTTGTCCTTACCACACATTCTGTCTGAGTAGTGTACCTAATCCCTGATCCTGATTTCTAGAATAATATGCTCAGTGGGAGAGCATCTAAGTGAAGACACAAGAGTAAATCCAAAGGATGCAGGATGTAGTAGGTAAGTCAGCAAAGTAACCTGAGAACCACAGTATATTAATAATCATCTTTCTCTTACACGTCTCACATTTGCAAGCGTATCATAAAACACAAATATGAAGAGAAATTGCATTAAGAAGCAGGACGGCCTACATCTTTAAAAATTCTACAGAAAGGATAAAAATATTTTTTGAAAAAATACATCAAAACCCACAAAGTTTTATATATATTTTTAAAAATCACCTTGCTCACTTCTGATTTATTCCAGTAAACAGAACTATGTACTAATATTGTTTACTTCACGATTATTCTAAAAGGTGACCAAACTATAGTATATACATTTTACAATATATGATATTTTGCAAATATTTATTCATTCACTATTATGAACCAGGTGTTTAACAAGGGTATTTAAAAGATAGGTCCAATTCAACTTGTTCTCCAGTTTTCTGACAATATTAAAGATATTTTACCTCTGGGCTTTACATTAGGCCATGCTCTAGATCAGAGAAGTCCAATGTAAATAGAATACAAAAGTTTTAGTTTTTTAATTTAAACTTTCCGGTAACTCTATTTTTCAAAAGTAAAAACCAAACATGACATTAACTTTAATATTACATTTTACTTAAAATATGGAAAGTTACCATCTCAACATGTAAGCAAACTTAAAAAGACTCATAGTTAACTTTCTTTAGCATAATCTTCGAAATCTACTTTGCCTTATACACTTACAGCGTCTCAATTCAACATTATTTTTGTTAATAATTGAAAAGAAAAACTACAATAATTTATCCTTGACCTATTTTCCAAAGCAGAATTATTTAAAAAAATCAACGTTATTAATAAAAAAATAACAAACTTTCTTGATAAGTTGAACCACTCAATTTTCAAAATACAATTTTCACTGACTCATTCCTAATAGAGTGCATAGCATATGGTTTTTTCTCAACAAATATTTGTTGAGGAATGAACATACATATCAAGTAACAGGCAATGAATAGTAGTAATACATCTAGGGTTCAAATTGAAGATTAAGCAGCAGACTTTCAATTAACTAGATCCTATATGAAAACTGATGCTACACTACAGTTAAGAAAACACTTCCATCAGTTTTCTCATTGACTACAACATTCCTAAGGCCAGGTATTATCACCCTCATTTAATATACAAGGAAGGTGGGGCTGAAAAGGTTAGATCATATAATTATTAAGTAGTGGGGCCCAATTTCAAAAACAAGTCCTCAAAAGACACACGTGGAGGAGTGGATGTTATGAAAACCATAACCCTTGTTTCTCCATTTAAAAAATTCCCATTACAAAAGCTTCGGAGGAAAAGTACACAGTGAATACTTTCCAATAGCACCCCCCCCCCCACACACACACACACAACTTTCTAAAAAATTCGAACCCATTTAAATGGTAACAATAAGCATTGTTGATGAGAACTTAAAAGCACCTACACAAAAAGGCTACATCCTCCCACCTCCACCTCCGGAAACAAATCAAACTGGGAGCAAAAGCATCCCCCGCGGCCTGGCAGAGACTCGCCCGGGAGCATAGACAGATGTGGGGCCCCGCCCCCGCCCCAGCCCGCCGGGGCGCAGCGCTCCCCATCCCCGAGTCCGGGCCGGGCCAGCCGCTCCCGCCTACCTGACGGGCTCCCGCCACCGCTTGAACCAGCTGCAGCAATTGGCCATCAGACCGAACATCCCAGGCCGCCGCTCCCGCCGCCTCCCATCCGAGCCCGGGGTGGGGACGACCCCTCGAGGTCCCGGGCCGCGTCCCGGGGGCCGCCACCGCTCCCCGGAGTCTCAGAGGCCGATAACGCCGGAGGAGAGGCCGGAAGGCAGGTGAGGACCGCAGGTGGGCGCGCCGAGCCCCGCCAACGGCGCCGATCCGCGAGCGCGCGGCGCCCGCACGCCTCGGCGGGGAGCCCAACGGGGGACAGCGCGGATACCCTAACTCCTGGGGGGTTAGCGGGCCCGGCCGGAGAAAAACCCCGCGTCGACGTGCTGACGTGCCCCCCAGGCGCGGAAGACCCGCCCCAAGCACCGCCCAGGCACTCCTCCAATCATCGCTCAAGGACCTGTTGTGGGGGCCTCTGAGTGGCTTGAGGGGTCCAGCTCCCCGCCTCTGTCCGAGAGGTGGGAGGAGGAAGAGGGAGTGATCTAGAAAAAGGAGGTGGAGCCGGTGGGGCTAGGTGGTTCTCGTCGCTAGGCAACGAAAGCGTCCAGAGATGAACTGAGGAATCTCTCCCAGATCTTCCACAAGCCCTGTCTCTACGCCTATCCAATATATGTTGCCAGCCAAGGTGCTGTTTCTCCTGTCTCCAAGCCCAGCTGAGATCCAGAGCTCTCAGGTGTTGGGCATGTTTTGTTTTGTTTTTACAGCAGGGATGGGCATCCTCTGGGATTCTGACAGACAGGCTGCACAACTACAGAAACAATACACTAGGGCAATTATTTTAAGCTGAGGGAAAACTTGTTTTGCTAAATATCTTAATAGTTCAGATCAGAGTGACGTTTTAATCTGTTTGATGTTTATTGCCGTTTGTTACATAAATGTGAAATGTATTGTATGGTATTTACTCTCTTGGGGGTGGAGGTTACAATTACAAAAGAAATAGATTTTCATTGTGAAAGAACACTAAAGAACAAGATGAAGAAAATAAGATCTCACACTCACCACCCAAAGATAACCAGAATTATAATTTTGATGTTATTTCCAATGTGTAAGGTTTATACATTACTATCTATTTGATTTCTACAGCGTAGGGATTTTGAACTGTTGGCTATAACACTTTTTATTTAAAACTATATGTAATATCTGGACTTCTTTTTATAGTCTTTGGAATGACATGTTCAAAAAAATGCATACACAATATGTAGGGAACTAGCTCTCAATTCAATTTCCATTTAAGTATATATTTTCAAATCCTGGCAAAAGGAGAGAGGCCTCTGGGAAACCCATTGTACCCAGGGACAAACAATGGTCTGGGACTAAATATAGATGTACATCTAAAATTATCTTCTTTCTTTTACTATTTTGTGTAACTCTAATTCAATTTCATATATACAGCTTAATGTCTCTGAAGCCAAGTATCATATCTATAAATTACTTTGCATGATTGCTAAGATAATGAAATGAAAGAAATAAAGCTCAAGTGCCATTTCTAACACTTAATAATAGATAACATTTTTAACTTGGTGTCACCTGCCTACAAACATTTATCAAAAGTATTTTCCTGCCTCCTAGGTAGGAGGGATCTTGTTCCCTCTTCTCATTGTCCTACCTATATAACTTCAGTTAGTCTTCCAATTATTAGAACTATATGACTTATACATGTTTTCTTAAGTGATCCCTTCCATCCTCATTAGTGCCAGAAGCTGGCTCTGCCCACACTGCCCTGTCTATTACACTAAAATGCAATGCTAATGAAGAAAGTTGTTGTAGGCATTATGCTAAGTGAAATTAGTCAGAGAACAACAAATATTTTATGATCTCACTTATATGTAAAATTAAAAAATAAAACTTATAGAAAAAGAAATCAGATATGTGGTTACCAGAGGTAGGGGTGGAGTGGGGTGTGATGGTATAGGGTGAGGTAGATTTAGAGTAAGGTGATCAAAAGGTACAAGCCCAGGAATAAATAACTACTAGGGAAGTAATGTGCAACATCATGTCTATGGTTAATGTTGCTGTAGGACATATAGGAAAGATGTTAAGAGGGTAGAACCTAAGAGTTCTCAGGACAAAGAAAAAAAAAATTCTTATTTTTGTATATAATGAGATGGTGAATGTTAGCTGAACCTATTGTGGTAATCATTTCACAATATATGCAAATCAAATAATTATGCTGTCCACCTTAAACTTGTACAATGAGGCATGCCATTTATTTCTCAATAAAGCTGGGTGGAGCAAGTAGTTAGATGATACGTTCATAAATTTTCTCCCCTCCCTTTTGTTATTCCTGTCTCTTCTCCTTTTCTATTCTCTCAAGACCACTTTCCCAAGATTAGTTACTTTTGTAGGACTTCAGCAAATATTTTATTTTTCAAGTTTTCTAAAAACCTATTCCCTTCATTATATCTTCTTGAGCCAACATCTTAGGTATTACCCTCCATGTTTCTCCTAGATCTTTGGCTACAATCTCCAGGGTAGGATAGGCATAAGACAGCAAGGCAGAATAAGGCCACAATTTCCCTGTAATTATGAGCCAGATTGGTTTTTTTTTTAATTTTTATTTTTTATTTATTTTATACAAGAACCAGGGTACAGGCCAGATGCACGGGAGGGTGAGAAAATTCACCAGAGACAGAGCGGGGAACAGAAGAGGCAGACTGAAGAAATACACTGCTGAAGGGAGCAGCGGGCGCAACAGCAGAGGTCTGCTCGCCATGTGGGACCCTCACCAGCCGGCCGGGATCGAACTGTTAGGGGAAAAAGGCTGTCCCAAAGTTAATTCCATACAGGCTTTGTGGACTCCACCCCCACCCCAGTGTTAGGGGGAAAAGGCTGCCCCAAAGCAAATTCCATACAGGCTTTGTGGACTCCACCCCCACCCCAGGTCAAAGCCAAAGACACTGGGAACTCCAAATCCCATCACGACTAAAAGGAAGGTGGCTGGGACCTGAGGGTGGGGTTAAGCAGCCAGGTGGATACAAAAGGCAGACATGTGGGCTTTGGGGCTCTCTCCATTTTGGGGCCCTCGGCCAGCTCGCGGCGTCCGTCTAGCTCTGAGAGTGACTTTGGGTTTCCAGGTCGTCGGATCGGGTAGGACGCATTAAAGACTTTATTTCCCTATTTTCTCCCTGAGTTGTACATTTTCCTTATTTCTTTTTCTCTTGTAAATAAACCTTTTATTAACCCTTTTGCGTGTGTCTGTAGTAGAGTATTCATAAGTCCCTTTAAAGCGCGCGGGTGAGGACCCACAGCCAGGAACCCGTTTAATATCGGGGTTGCTCTATAACAGAACCAGCGCTGCAGAGGCTGCGGACAGCTTCACAAAGCGGCACTCAGCTGCCTGCGCCACCAGGGGAGGCCCTAGTATTGGTCTTCCAACTGTTTTCACAACCCAACTTCTAAACTACTGGTTCGAAAACCCAAATGCACTATTTTTACTCTGAGCTCAATTTACTGTCATTCATTTTTTATCCCATCAAGCCACTGAAAACACATTTGTTAACTATAACTCATGTTTTCCTAATTATGAAATCAGACTGAAAATCTTTGAATTTCCATGATATTTGGTACTGTTCTTTGGGACTTGACATATTCACCTTCCCGCCGCACCCCCCCCCTTCTTCCAAATCACCTATGCCAACACCCCATCTGTCTCCCTACTCCCTCTCCCTGTTCACTTAGGTCACTATCATATTTTTTTGCTTAGTTCAAGATTTATTCCTACTATTCTTTGCATATATATGAACCTTTTTTGGGCATTTATAGTCTACAGATGAATGAAACCATCTGTTGTTCACTTTTTGATCATTCCATCTCCCTTCACAGCTGTGTAGTACTCCATTGAGTATATATTTCATGCATTTGTCTGTTGAAGGGCACTTGGATTGGTTCCATGACTTACTTGGCAATTTGAACAGCGTTGCTATGTACATAGGTGTAGATAAATCTTTTCATATGAGTATTTCATATTGTTTAGATAAATACCTAATAGATGTATTGCTGGCTCATACAGGATTTCCGTTTTTATTTTCTTAAGAAATCTTTATACAGTTTCCCATAGAGGCTACAACAACTTGCATTCTCACCAACAGAGAGCGAGAGTTCATTTTTCAGCGTAACCTCACCAACATTTGTTGACTCCATTCCTTTTTAAATAGACCATTCTCATAGGCATGAAGTGGTATCTCAGTGGGTTTTTTTTTAATATTTATTTATTTATGCATACAAGAACTGGGGTACAAGTCAGAGGTGTGGGGGGCGAGAGGATTCACCAGGGACAGAATGGGGAACAGAGCAGGCAGAGCTACTGAAATACACTGCTGAGGGGAGCAGCGGGCGAGTCAGGAGAGGTCTGCTGCGCCATGTGGGTAGCTCCCTGGCTGGAGATCAAACTCGTGCTGCAGCAGCTGCAGATAGCTCCATTGGTTGCGTTTTAACCCCTTGTGCTGCAAGGGAGGCCCCTCAGTGTGTTTTTAATGTGCATTTCCCTTATAACAAATAATGTTGATCAATGTTTCATTGGTACATAGGTCATCTGATACCATTTGGTGTGGTATTTATACACAGTGGAATACTATTCAGCTATATCAAGATAAAATTTTGCCATATGCTTCTTTTTAGGTGATTATGTCAAACAAAGCTAGTTAGAAAGATAAAGCAAATATTGGATGATTTTTTATATGTATGGGTATAAAAGGAAACAAAGCAGATAAACTAATAAAGCAAAATAAAAATAAAATTGTGAATACTGATAGCAGAACTGAGGTTACCTAAGGTGAAGAGGGTGGGTGACAGGAGGAAAACTGAAGGGTGGGCATGTATGAAGAATGGTTATGGATGGTTATGCCTTTGCATTTTTGTTTTTGTTTGTTTTTTTCTTTAAAATACAGAAATGGATGATCACAACTATTCTCTTTGTGATGGAGGACAAGAATAGAAAAACTAGAAAGGAGGCCTCACAAGACTAAAACCTGACTCACACAAGAAGTTGGGGGTCGAGGGGAATAACATGACCATTAATCCAGCTCTAGAGGTTGGGACCCTCAGGCACCAGTGCCTTATCACAAGGCCTGAGACCCAAGCAGGAGCAGATGCTACAGGGTGTGGAGCACAGATCTGAGGGTAAAGATATGGAGATTGGACCCACCCTGAAATCTCTGGTCCCTTTCTAGTTTTGCCTGTTACCCAATATCAGCAACAAGCAGGCCACTCCATAGAGGAGTGACCCCTCCCAAAGAGAAAAGGACTGTATCTGTGCAGTCTCTGCACAGGCTCGGGGCAGCACTCCCACTGCCCACCTGTGACTATGCAGGTGCCTCTTTTCACCAAGTGTCTCCCACTCAGCAGCTTTCGGCTGTCCATGATCTGTACCTGCCAGGACTTCTCTTCACTGACCTCCCTCAGCCGAGGCAGCTCTCCTCAAGGCCGCCTGCCTGCAACCATGCGGGCCTCTCTTAGCAAACCTGTCCCTTTCCCTAATAAGCCTGCCCTTCAAATATAACTAATGTCTCTGTCTCATGGAGAAACTCGCCTGGGGAACTCCAGTCCTGCTGCTGAAACTGGCGGGCGTTCTGGTGAAATCTTTCCTGGAGTGAACCCAAGGAACCCCACCCCCACCCCCCCACACCCACTCCAAAAACCTCACCATTTGCTCCCATTAGCTCTGCCGGCTGTAGTTTCCCTTGAGTCTTCATTTGCCTCTAAATTTTCCAAAGTCCTCATCCTCCAGGTCAATCTCTCAGGGATTTTCCATCTAGACCTGGATGTCCTGGTCTCTGAATCCTTCAAGTGCTCTTGGAGATTGAGTTCCCACCCCAGCGCACTAGAGGCTTTTACTGCCTTTGCTGCCCCCTCACTTTGGGAAACTTCATTTTCCGGAGGAAAGGAACAAACGCTGGAGTTTGGCAACTGGCAGAGGATGTGTGCGCTGTGTTTACTGGGCCTGCAACACCCTCCCAGAGCCCTGCCCCCAGCTCCGAAAAGCTTCCCGGAAAAGTCCTGGTTATCACTTCCCCTCCGGGCTGGGGGCTGGGAGCCGGCCGTCCCCCCCGCCCCGGCTCGGGCAGCTCTGCGGGCGCGCTGGTTCACCCGCGCCGCCCGCCGCTGTCCTGCGAGAGCGGCGCGCCGACTTGCAGCTCCGCCGCGCGCCCCGCGCTCAGATCCCGCTGCCACCCACGGTCCCCGGCGGCGCCTCGGGCCTCTTAGCCATGAGGGTCCTGGGTGGGCGCTGCGGGGCACTGCTGGCGTGCCTCGCCTTGGTGCTTCCCGTCTCGGAGGCCAACTGTGAGTAGTCACTAGGGTCTGGTCTGCTCCTTTCCCAGCCGTGCTAATGCAGTCCCAGCGCTGTAGGCAGGCTTTTCTTTTCTGGGACTGCAGCCTTCTGGAAAGTTTCCTTCGAGTCTGGCGGTCAACTGGCTGACGGGAGCTGCGGTGGATCTAGCAGGCAGTGTAATGGTGGGGCAGGGTCGGTGTTTGCCCTGCTCTGGGACTGGTGTATTGCTTACTGGACAGATGCAAGAACCTGGGTGATACGAAGTGTGCTGAGGAACTAGAACATCTACCCATTTGCACCCAACAGCTAAAGTTCCCAGGCAGAGGACAGGTACGAGCGCGTTCTAGTCTAAGAGTAGGGAGGGAAAAACAATCCCCTTTTTTCTTCCCTTTGCATAAGCCCCTGTCCCCAACCAGCACCCCCTCCGGCCACCGGCCACCTACCTCCCTTTTGCAATTTCTGGACTTTGAACGTGGTTTGTTTATCTCAACATTGACAAACGAATTGTTTTAGGATGGCTGGGGGTTTGCACAGCAGCAGGCAGATGTCATTTTCTAACCTTGAAATCAAAAGGACTGTTAAATATTGTATTTTTCAGATCATGTTGTTCTGAGAATTTTTGACACTAAGTGCCACAGAGCTTGTGTTACGAATTTTTTGTACTTTTATCTTTATAGTTCCAGTTCTTATGTTCCCTTGCTTGAATTCAAGGCAGGATTTTGAGTTTTCTTTGAATAATATGTAAAGAATATTAAGGCACTTAGTATATTTTAGTTGCCAGGTAATTTGTTTGTTTACTAAAGTTCCAACATATTCATTGATTTGAAAAAAACCCTTGCTTGTGCTCTGTTTTATTCTCAGGAAATGGTATGCAAGAGATAAACTGAATTTCATATAACTTTTAAGCTGGCTAAAGTTTCAGTTGTAAACTTTTCAAAAATAATATTTTCAGGAGACTCAGAAAGGAATTTATTAACAGCCCACTAGTTTTTATAAATTACTGATTAAGGTGAATGGAATATATAAAAATTCTCATTTAAAGGCTAAAACATTATTTGTTGATCCTATATTAAAGAGCTACAATAGCAGAATTTCAAACTCCAGTTATTAAGCCACACGTATGGACCACATGAACTAACTCATTATATAGTTCATTAAGACAATAAATATTTGGCTGATAACTAGTGTTTTGCAGAGAAGAAAAGGTAAAAGTGACTTACCGCATATACTGCTTGCCATCATGGGATTTTACTTGACCCTTTATTTTATAGATTGTTACATTTTCATTGACTCTAGGTAGAGTTAAAATTTGTGTGTGTGTGTGTATTATACACAGGTATTCAAACCATATACTTAGAGAAATACACTGGTTCTGCATAGACACTGGTAGAGTAAATTCTGCAAGTATATCACATAAAGCATAGTTGATCCTATAATGCCTTGCTTTAAAATATTATGGTAGTTTAATTAGATTTAAATTGACATGGTTAACTGATGAGGAAATGCATAGAACTGGAATGTTTCTACTTCCCAAGATTTTAAATTTGAGATAGAAATAGAACTCTAAATATTTGATATATAATTCATTGTTTAGTGCATAGAAATACAGTTGTATTTTTTTTAAAGAAAAAGGTTTATTAAAAGTTTTTATAGTCTGGAGAGAGAGAAATCATCTAGTTCAACTTCATTTTAACAAGAAGTACATTGTTTCAAGGATGTTAATTTCCAAATTACCTATATTGCTTCTTACTAAAGTCTTGTGGTGAAGAGAAATAGGAAAAAGGGGATGTACACTTTTAGCTGTTCTAATTCAGTCCTATCCAGACATCCACTTCTGGTTGGATGTAGCCTACCATTCATATAACTGACTCATATTTTCCTTCTCTTTTTTATTCTCCTTTTTTTCTTTCTCTAACTATCCCTTTCACTGTTTGTTTATCTTCGTATTTTCCTAAACTCTTTTTACTCCAAAGTCCAAAATGTTGCACTGATGGAAAGGTTTTATCAAGATTAGGTTAGAGTTGGGTTTGGTGCGAGTCTCTAGAGACCATTTTTGGTATACTACAAAGCAACAACAAAATATTGTGCCGTGTTCTCTTAACACTAATTCTATGCTAGGAAATACAGTAAAGTTTTTCATAGTAGACTTTTTCGGTACAACTTCAATGACTTCTTTCTAGCAAAACAGTAAATCTAGGACTCCCTAGTGGCGCAAGGGGTTAAGCACCGCACTATGAAGCAATCCACAGCCTCTGCAGCATGAGTTCAATCCCCGGCTGGCCAGGGAGAAACCACATGGAGAAGTAGACTTCTCCTGTCTTGCCCGCTGTTCCCCTCAGTAGTGTATTTTAGTCAGTCTGCCTGTTCTACTCCCTACTCTGTCTCTGGTGAATCCTCTCACCACACCACCCCCGCCCCCTGCATCTCTGGCCTGTACCCCAGCTCTTGTATGCATAAATAAATAAATATTTAAACAAAAAAAACCCAGTAAGTCTATTATCTGTATATATTTAAACTTTGAAATATTTTATAAGGAGCCTGATAAAATATTTATCAATATTATTTAGCTACACACCACAGTAATGAACTCTTCAAAGGAAGGGAGGGAGGGAGGGAGGGAGGAAAACTGATTTACTGGAAGGTGACTATATGAAATACTGATTAACCAGGCTTAGGGAAGCCAGTGACTTGGGCATTAAGGTGATCTATGTAGTGGGAACTCCTGTGTTCACTTGATGGGAGGGGCCATCAGTTGACTTTTAAGTCTGTGTGTCTGTGCTCATGATTCAAATTCCTAGGAGAGAGAGAGCCTGATTGTTTTGGCTTAGCTGTCACTGAAAATTCACTAGATTCAGAGGCAGTGCTAGGACAGTTCTCACAAAGGAATGGATGCCTCGAAGGAAGCAAAAACAAAAGTCCACACATTCTAATTTTGGACTGTACTACATATATGCATGCCTTTCTTTCCATGTACACCATTTGAACATATTTCAAATATAATGCAAATATTTCTAAATTGATGCAAATAACTAAAGTATAGCAGAAAGGACCTCTTGCTCAGTAAGTTCTAGTTACCACACTCAGAGAAGAGGAAGGCTCAGTTTCCTAGTTAATGTCATCAAATGATGTCCATGCCTTCTCCAGTCTGTACAATCTCCTGCCAATGTGCTATGCTTTATGGATGAAATGATGCATTGTAGTGTGCTTAACACATCCTATATTGTGATTAATAATTTTAAAAGACAGACAAGAGAATGTCTCTCTGGTTACAAGCTGAAGCTGATCTTTATCACTTGTTCCTTCACCACCCAGTTCATATCTCTCTTGCTCTCAAGCTGTTCCTCAGATTTTCTGGTTAGCTCTAGGAGATGAATCATAATCTTTTTCAGGAAGACTCTGATCCCTGCTATTCCTTCCTGTGAATGGTTATATCCATCTTCTTTCACAATTTCTCTGTGTAATAGTTTTTCTGGATGAGTAACTGAATTATATGTGACAACAACAATATTTTGCTTTGATTATTGCCATTGCAGTATAATCTTTTTTTTTTTTAGCAGGAATAAAGAACTTCCAATGGCTATATAGCAGGCTCAGCTTGTAAATCAGTTGGAAAATATATTTGGTCCTCTAGTGATTGTATTCTTCCTTGGTTTCCCAGTTTCAAAATTAGCAGAACTCAGTTGTGAGAGAAGAGAGAAAAAACTTTGAGAATAGGATACTGAATTTGTTTCCTAGGGCTGTGTAACAAAGTGCCACAAACCAGAGTCTTAAACAACAGAATTTATTGTCTCAGTTCTGGAGGCTAGAAATTGGAGATCAAGGTGTCGTAGGAGGTGGTTCCTTCTGAGGGCTGTGAGGAAGAAGACCTCTCTGATTTCTAGTCACCCTGATATTCCTTGGCTTGTAGATGGCATTTCTCCCAATGTCTTTGCAACATCTTCCCTCTGCATATGTCTGTCTCCTCCTAATTACCCCTTTTCCTAAGAAATTAGGAATTATTGAATTATGATCCACTCTTATGACTTCATTTTAATTTGATCATCTGCAAATCTCTTATCTCCAAATAAAATCATAATCACATGTATTGGGTGATTAGGATTTTACAGTCTTTGTAGGGGACACAATTCAACCCATAGCAGTCCCTGAGCATCACATTATGACAAGTATTTCTTTCCTCCCTCCTTCCCTCCCCTCCCGATGTGTGTATTTTGGCTTTAAGAAAAGAACATCATGCTGATACAGAAAACATACCACATTTGTTTTTTCCCTTTTGGACGATGAGATTGTATCTAAAAGGCAGTTACTTCACCCTCAGTAACTGGTCAGTCTCTCATTCCATAAGGCAAGCTGCTTCCTGGCTTTAGATTGTACAATAAGACCAATAAAAACCATAGTAATCATCCTATTGACTTATTTCTTTAACTATGGAGTGAAGACCTTAGAAGCAATGCTGTGTGGTTTTAGCACAGAGCACGGAGAGTAAGTCTACCAAGTGGTGCTGACAGATAAACCCAAATATGGATTGAATGTCAACCTTTGAGTACAGATTTTGATAGAAAAACCCTACTAATCAACCATCGACTAAGTATCAGATGGGATTTTGTAATATATACAGTTTCTAACAGCTGAAGGAATAACAGTTCTTACCATGTTTTTTTAATGGTGAGAATCTGGGATTCTCAGTGTAAGTCAGTGTAAGTCTTATGCAATTGAGTTTGCATGTAGCCTTATCCTTGTCCTCATGGATGCTTTTTATGTTTCTAAACAGTACTGTGCAAACATTATGCTCAGTTACGCAAAGTGGAGACCTGAGGGCCATATACCTCCAGATTTGTGTGTTTGACCCTTATGGCATTTTAAAAATCAGAAAAAGTTTCATGGAAGTTTGGTTTAAAGACTTCTTTTCTGAGGAAAGGAAGACCTCCCAATGCTGAGTCCACATTTCAACATAGTAAGGTTCAGCTACAGCTGACTCAGAGTTACCTTGTTTTTCTTTTGTCCAAAGCAAATT